GTGTTTGCTAAATGCAGCTATGCTGTTTTGTGGATCTAATGAAAAAAAATCCAATAAGCATTTCACATTTAAAAATGTCCACAATGCATCTTTTTTTCAAGCATTTTTCTGAACAAAGTTCTCAATGCTGAAAATGGCCATCTATTGTGCAAACTGGCTTTCAGTGCTGAGAATAGCTTTGAAAAGGCTGCCTTGGATCATTGTGGTCAAACGACTTGATTAAAAGAGTCAAAGTGAAACAGAAACTTACCAGCACAATACATGATTTTGTTATCAGCAGCATAAATAGTTGAAAATAGGCTAATATTTTATCTTTGGTCATACAGATATGAACCGTGGATATTCTGGTTATCCTAGTTATGAGTGAGAGAGAGGGAGAGGGAACAAATAAGATGTGTTTTGAGGCATGCAGTTCTTATTTTAAATTTGGTTTTGTTATGTATTTAAGTGAAACATGTACTATATGGGGTTTATTGCATTAGTGTATTCGCATTGGTCATTACTTCAAATTAAACAATCATTTTATTCAGTTAATGATTGATTTAAAAAACATCAGACATCTATTGAAATGAACACTAACATTTGCATTATGCATGTCCTACATTCTGCTATGCCACCGATGATGGTTACAACTTACCCTGGTTGAAATGATAATGTTATCTGACCCCATGATATGTTACAACTAACACATACTTTAGGGTGAACTAACAAAGGACATTTTTAAAGAACATGGTTGCTTTTAATGCTGATTTTTCATTTCATACTGCAAAAACTGTGTTCTTATCTGGGGTTGGGCTGTGGAGTTGGATCTGTTGTGGAATGTCCAGCTAGATCTCGGGCCTGTTTTAGAAAAGAGCTTAAGTGAAAACTTAGAGTATTTTAACCGTGAAATGAGAGAACTCTGGGTTTTCCGTTTCAAACTGGCAGGTTTGTCAAACTCAAGAAAGCAGGGTAAGTCAAGCCTGTTTCTGAAAGAGATTTAACTTTTACTCAAGACTCAGTTACTCTGTTAACTTACCCTGTGAACCTAACCTGGTCAGGAGCAGTTTTTTTTGTCTAAACTCTGAGTTTCTGTCGGTCTCCTCCCCTTTTTAAAAGGTATGAAGTGGTATTTCTTGCCTTAGACTTAAGTGCACGCACCTATTTTAATGTTCATTTTGGAGATGTGCATACAAATGATTGATGGAAATGTCATGATGCACATAACCTTTAAAATTATGAATAAAAGCATGCATAACTGAGTAGGATAAACATTCATTCGATAAGAAAAGATGTGCATAAACTGTGAGGGAAACACTTTTACTGAACAATTTCCAGTATGTGCTTAAAAAAAGGTTGGTTATAAGAGATCATATGATGATGAAAATGTCTGTGAATGGATTAACCAGCAGGCTGAGCACACTGCAACACATCTGAAATGTTGTTTTGGTCATTCTAAAACACCTTAACCGTTTCAGTATTATTATACAATATTATTAATTACCTCCAGAGCACCTGGAGCGTGTCAAGAGTGTCCGATCTTCGTGTCTCATGGCTTCAAACAACCCCACGTGTTCATTGTGTGTCAGCATTGTCTTCTGAGACGCAAGTACATTTATTAAATAAAGAAAAGATTGACGCAGCTTCTTCTACCGCAGTAAATTCTGCTTTTACTGTTGATATTTGGCAACAGTTATTTAATAAGTGACGATGTTGTTCTCTTTGATTCATTGGATGGAAACGCTGCTTTATTCGCACATCTTTTATGGCTCTTCCAGTTTTGCTTTTATATAAAATTTATAAACTTCACACATAACATTACTTATTTTACCACTCCTAAATATTTAAGTACTTTAAGTGTAAAATCCCGCATTAACTTAAGCAGCTGTTTCCCTACGCTATCTGTCTCTGTTTCACTGATGCAGTGCCATTGCTTGTTTAAATATATGCTCATATTTGCTATAACTTTGCATGAGCATATCAAGTTCAGCTGGAGAAAGAAATACTGATCTCTTTTTTTCAGATGTTGCCATGGTGACTCATAATATCTGCGCTCCATTGATAATGGCTTTTTATAGTTGCTGTGTGAACGCTTAACTCTGAGTTGGTCTACTCAAAGTTGACTGACCTAACTCAGATCAGCTATTCTGAAACTGAAAACTCAGAGTTTAATCTTTCAGTAAATCAACTTATAGTTCAAGCTTAAACTCCAAATTGGTTGAACCTCCTTACTGAAACAGGCCCCTCATGAGGAAACATACAGTAACAATTTTGTGTTGTCAGAAAAGTGTATGCTTTTTAAAAGGAAGCAGGTCCCCAAACCCCACCCCTAACCCTCACTGGAAGATGAGCAAATCATACTAAAAGAGATCACACAAATGATATGAATTAGCCACTAAATCAAAAGGTCAATAGAGTGGAGGAACTATGACGTCACTTTGTAGGCTAATAGGCTGCTACCATAAAACTGGGTCCCTCGATAAAATCCCTATAGGATTTTCCTATGTGCTTTTCGAAGATTGTGAATAATAAGCTCTGTGTTCAAACACTGTTAATTACTACACTACACTACACTGCCTTCGGGGCGCTTGCCTGTGATGTCAGCACCACCCTTCTATAGACAACTTTTCAAGCTTATTTTTAGAAATATGCTCCATGACAAAGAGTTAATCTCTTTGTTTTTTATATTATAATCCACGCTGTATATTAGAAACAAATAAATATGCAAAAACACATAGACCTGTGTGCCTTTTGGATCGTTTTTATGTGGGAAATACATCTGTTTTGCTTTACGATTGTTGTAAAAGTTTTAAGGCCGTACTCACACTAGGTACAGTTACCTCGAACCGGGCCAAAGCACGCTTGTCCCCCCTCCCATCTCCCCCGACGGCCCGCGCTCACACCACAAACGGGCCTCGGCACACTTACGTCATCGCTGCTGCGCTGTTCAGTGAGAAGCGCTCTCACACTCAGCAGCACAGTGGAGATTTCTCTAGTTATATCGTTTCAGTCGTTTGTTATGCAGTGACATGCAGTCAAATATTTCGCCAAACAGTCCTTAGGGATGCAGGGACATGCAGTCAGATATTTCGGCGAACAGATCCGCCAATTTTGGTGCTCAAAAACAATCATAAAGCTCTCGTGCTGCAGGAATGAGGAGGTCTGCTGAAGCCGCACAGCTGTCTTGCTGTGAGGAATTCTCGTCTTTAATAAACTACGGCAGTTTGCGTTCACTGAACAGTAAGAATGAATAATCCATATGAAACAGTCCCGTAAAAGTCACGTCTTGCTTTCAGTTTCGGGCTTTGGCGCGTTTTGCACTCACACACAAGTGTACCGTGCCAAAGCTCAAGTGAACCGCGCTCAGGCACACCTCTTCCAACTGGGCCAGGGCCGGCCAAGTGAACTGTGCTTGAGCCCGATTCAGCGCACTCACACTTCTCAAACGATCCGGGAAACGGGCCAGGGCATGGTACGGATGGCATAGTGTGAGTAGGCCCTAAAACTGTATGTATAAATGTGCCAACATAGCATCAGACATATTCAAATGAGTGTAATGTTATTGCTCGCATGCACACAGCCAGCTTACCTTAACAGACAACAGAAATGAGGCGTGAGGAACAAGTCTATCAAATGCCTGCAAGTTCCATCATGGATCGAGAACAACATTCAATATTCTTTTTCGTGTCCGAAAGATTATACGGTCACATATGCTATACATTTTATAGAGGAGTGTAAATGTTGCAGTTTTGACAGTTAAATTTTCAGATTCTTTTCACACATTTATTCACGTTTGCACAGCTGAGAGCAGGAAGAGACAGACTGCACTGGTAAGCATCTTCTGTGGTATAGTATCTTCATAATATTAATTAAAATAAAGAATCAACAAGTTAATCTGTCTCAATATGTTTCAATATGATATGATTAGAAAAATACTAAACTATAAAACACTATTCATGAAAATACTTAAATCATAGACAAATCCAAATGCCCAACACAAGCGAGCTGTGCTCCAGACCAGTTCAGCTCGATGACATATAATGTCTCCAACACCGCTTGTAGTCCCATTTAGCAACTTGATTGCAACCGTCTTTTTAAAGAAGCATAACCATTTAAAAAAAAAAAAAAAATTAAGTATGATGTAACTGATGTGTTTTTTGTCGTAGAATAAAACATGAATGTATCTTGAGTTTGTTAGCCACGAACCTTATTTAAGCAAATTAGCTAAAATCCCATTGAAAAAACCCATTGACTTAGGGATGAGGGAACCGGAACTGCTAACTCACTTCCAGGTTTTAGCATACAAACTGACCTCACAGTCCCTCCACTCGATACTACTTACTTTGAAATTGTGGTGGGAATGTCTCATAATGAAGTTTTGCTGATCAGACTTTTCACACAAAAATTATTTTATTGCAGTCAGTCTTCAAAAACAAGAAAATATATTAATTCATTATTTAAAGTATATTAACCACAGGGGAATGAACCACCAACTACTTTGGCATACATTTTACATAGCAGATACCCTTTCAACACTATGTTAGAAAACACTTAATCTGCATGCCACTACCCACACAATTTAGTAAATCCTAAACCACAAGGCTTTGGACACTTCAGTTAAAAATGTTCTGTTCAGAGTTAAAATGCTTTGGGGGGGGAAAAAAAAAAAAAAAACACAAACACACAACACTAAAGAACCACTTGATTAAATAGTAAATTTTTTTATCTGCTTTTTGGTAAACAAAATACAAGCTTAAAAACAAGCAGATTTTGAACATAATTAACAACTGACACAATCAAGCATCTGATATGTAATAGCAGTTCATTAAACAATTTGTGACTTCTTTACTTGTGTACTTTTGGTCAGTACATTGGATTATTATTATTTTTGAGAATAGACCGAGGAGAATTCCCTTTACTGTAAAAGCAATTTTCTATTAAAATCCCAAAGCTTAAATCTTTGCAGATGCAGTCATTTTTGTTTTACATTTAAAAACAAAAAAAACTGAAGTCAAAACAAATACAGTAACAATAATTTATTAATTTAGAACACAAGCATAAATCAGAAAACCTCAAACAAACACCTAGGACTTGACTTGTTGCAACAGCTTAAGCAACTTCCGTGATGAATGCGTATTGCTTCCAGCAGGTCCAGGAGCATTTTGATCTGTGACAGTCTGATAATTCAACTGTGATGGAACTAGAGGTTCAGGTTGCACCAACTGCAGCACAGGCTTAAAGTTTGAAATTATTGGGGTGCTCCAGGTTTGGGACCTTGATGGCACAACCCCTGAAGAAGTCTGCAATACAGGCTGGAAGACAGTCTCATAACTTGACACTACTTTAGGTTGATTGCTGGACTGCACTGGCACAGCCGAGGAAGAGCTGGACTGAGTGATAGACAGACTAGCTGGGAGCATTTGAGGCTGGGAAACAAACTGTACAGGAACAGAAGACACCTGGTTAGGAAGAACTTGTGCCTCAAAGATGGAATACTCCAGTTGGTTGGGCTTGACTAGGGGCCCAAACAGACCTTGCCAAAGCTTGGCTGGAGGCTTGTAGTTAGGCTGCTGCAATGGTCTTGAAGGATGACCAGTGGGCTGAGATACTAAAGTATAACTCACTGGTCCAGGCTTGGCAAGAGACAAACCACTGGGTTGGACCTCAAGCACACCTGGCTGTTCACTTTGAAGCACTACAGACTGCAAGCTAGGATGTCTAGGCAGATCTGCTGGTCTGAAAGTAGATGTGAGGGGGCTAGGGAAGTTGACATCCACAGGAATCGGGTCACTGGGCAAAATAACAGGCTTGATAACCTGAGCTGCGTTTGGAAGACGGTGTGAAGATGGAGAGTGATGTCTCCGCTTGTAACCGTGCTGTGGTAGCTCATGGCATGAATACAGTTTGGAGCCAATCTGATGAATCCCATGGGACTGCATTGGATTGAAAAGGGTTTGCCCATTCTGGTTGACAACATACTCATAGCTGGACTGTCCAGCTTGAAGATGGCCTACAGATGAGCTGACCTGTGCTGGCTGTTCCACCAAATGGTAGCTAGCTTGTGCTGGTTGTTGGGAAGCAGACTGGTAGATGGTTTCTACTAGGTGTGGCACAGTGGGCTGGCTAGCAGACTGGTAGACTATTTGTGCTGGTTGTTGAACAACAAACCAGGGCCCAGACTGGTTGCTGGTTTGTCCTTGCTGCTGTGAAGTAGGCTGAGCCTCTGACTGAGAACTGCCCTGTACAAGTGTCTGCCATTTGGATGGAGATGAAGATTGGTAGTTGGCTTGTACTGGCAGTTGAAGAACTGCTTGGGGCCCAGATTGGTAGATGGTTTGTACTGGTATTTGGCTACTGGACTGATCTACAGAAGTAAATGTTAGTGTCTGAAGAGGACTATTACTGGAAGGCTTTGACCCAGAGTGATGTTTACCTTTGTGATGCTTGAGAGGAGTCAGTCCATTGGGCTGTGCCACGAAAACATAACTTCCATCTACAGTTTCCACATTATTTGACTGGGAAACCGATTGACTGCCTTCTATTAGCTGCTGGCTGGAGACCTGGGCCACAGAGGCATCAACTGCCTGTTGAATCAGCTGGCTACTGGGCTGGACCACAGAGATGTCAATGACACTGGGAGTTTGTATGATTCCTGGTTGATTCACAGTTTGGCCACTGGACTGGGCTGATTGCTGGCTACCTGACTGGCTCACAAGCTCATAGCTAGCCAAAGCTAGGTTACTTGGCACACTACCATACTGTAGTATTGATAAGCTAGGTTGTGAGGCTTTGGAAGGTTTGGAGGAGCTGATTGCTGCATTGTGAACTGGCCTGGAACCAGTTTGATGGTGGGGTTTACCTTTCAGAGGCTTAAGGGGCCATCTACCAGATGGCACAGCAGATTGGAAGCTAGTCTGAAAAATCGGTTGGCCACTGGGCAAGGATAACTGCAGAGGGTTAGACTGGGCTATGGTTCCAGAAGTTGCTGGTTGCTCATTGCTGGACTGGGAAATAGTCTGCACGAACTGTTGGCTGCTGGGCTTCACCACAGATGTACTGCTAATTTGAAGAGGAATTGAGGAAACTACCTGCACTGGCTTAGAAACAGAATAACTGCTTTGTTGCAATGGGCTCAGGACAGAAGAACTGATGACTTCAGAGCCTTGGACAGTAGTTGACTGACTTGAATCAGATACAGAAAGGTCCGTACTCACTGCATTTCCCACAGAACCATAAACAAGACTACCAGTTCCAACTGAATCAACATGAAATCCTTGTTGGCTTGTATGCGATTCAGAGCCTTGTTTTTCACTTATCATGGGAGTGCCTGAAGAGCCAGCCTGAGAGCTATAGGATGTGTCAAAGCCCCATTTAACTGTATCCTTGCTGACTGGTCCAGTTACATCAGTCAAGCCATAAAAGTTAGTGAGACTTGGTTTCACTTCCTGCTTGGACTGACCAGGATCATTAGATACAGGATTGACTCCACCGCTGCCAGGGCTGTAGGCATAGACTACAAGAGGAAAACAAGCAATTAAAGCAAACAAATCAAGTTAAAATAATGCTGGGAAAAAAACAAAAACCTTACCAGTTGCAATACCATCATCGTCATCACATGCACCAAGGGCTAAAAGTACTGCTAAAGAATAACTGCAAAAGAGAAACTGCCATTTTCAAAACCAAACCAGGTAAATAGTAAAACAAAATTAAGAACCAAGGCAAAACAACATACCTTAAAATCCACATTGTTGTAGCACGCATCGCAACCCAAGTCAACACAACCATCCACTACCCTCAGCACATCAGCTTCAAAATACAAAGAAAGATTTCACCAAACTATGCAGTATTAGTCTTAAACTGGCCTTCTTATAGTCTGTGCAGCTACCAGTCAGTTGGCTAGATTATTGCCTCAGTCCAATCAATTGTCACAGGAATGTCTAATGGATCATCATTAGTTTCAGGTGTCAGTTGTTGCACGTTATTTTCATGGTATGCCATTTCATTAATACATTTTTTCAAACTAATAAGCTTTTTATGTTTTGGAAAAGAGATAAACATATTCTTAAATAAAAATGTATAGTTTCTTGATTAAATAAAGGAAAGAGTAAAAAAAACAAAGTAATTCACATAATAAATAAATATATTTCTGGTTAACTTAATGTCAGCAAAAGTTTAAGCTTGACGTATAAATACCTAAATGCAGGTATGCTGTTTTGTGGATCAAATGAAAGCAAATGTAAGAATCCAATATTTCACATTTAAAAATGTCCACAATGCATCTTTTTTCAAGCATTTTTCTGAACAAAGTACTCATTGCCGAAATTGGCCATCTGATGTGCAAACGGGCTTTTAGTGCTGGGAATAGCTTTGAAAAGCCTGTCCTGGCTCACTGATCAAACGACTTGATTAAAATAGTCAAAGTAAAACAGAAACTTACCAGCAAAATAAATGATTTTGTCATTTGCAGCAAAAATAGTTAAAAAACAGTCTAATATTTTATCTTTAGTCATACAGATAGTGTAAGACATTTTTTGAAACTGTGCTTATTCCGGTTATCCTAGTTATGAGTGAGAGAGAGGGAGAGGGAACAAATAAGATGTGTTTTTGAAGCATGCAGTTTTTATTTTAAATTTGGTTTTGTTATGTATTTAAGTGAAACATGTACTATATGGGGTTTAATGCATTAGTGTATTCTCATTGGTCAATAATTCAAATTGAACAATCATTTTATTCAGTTAATGATTGATTTAACAAACATCAGAGATCGACTGAAATGAACACTAACATTTGCATTATGCATGTCCTACATTCTGCTATGCCACTGATGATGTTACAACTTACACTGGTTGAAATCATAATGTTATCTGCGTGGCGTGCCGTGGCTGTTCAGACTGACACTAACACAAAGAGTCATGTTTTAATTTGTTATTTTCTTAATGACAACCTGAAAAAACTGAACAATTATTTAAACTGTACAAGCTAAAAATTAACATTTATTTTTATATCTTTTTTTAGCCTCAAAGTGTGCAGGTTTTGTCACAGCAGTGTATTTTGGACCTAATTACTTACTAAATAAAGTATACTTTTATACGTGACCTTTACTTAAGAATACTTCTTTTTCCTAAGGGTGTATTTACTGACTTATCAAGATCAGTCGAGGACAGACAGGGGGAGTATTGCCGCTCTGACAGCCAAGTTTGGTCAAAGCTAGAGATACTCTGGTCAGGATTTTTGCAGCTGATATAGAGTACTGATTCCTTGTCATGGTGACCCGCTGAAAATGAGCGCCAATTCTAATGCTTTAAGCTTTATAATGCATTGAGCACATTTCCCTCTAAGTTTGAACCTTAAGAGAAGATCTTTCCTTACTTTAAAGACTAAATCAAGGATGCTGCATAAAACCTTAAACATGTCTCTTTAGGTGTGAACATGTCATGGCCAGAAGCAGCTTTTCAGAAAATGATTCATTCATTAATTTTACTCTGGCTAAGTCCCTAATTTATCAGTGGTTACCACAGTGGAATGAACCGCCACAGAAAACAATATAACACAGATATAAACATTGTTATGGAAAATTACAATGCAATTTGGCAACAATGAAAATGACGAAAGAAGAATTCAACATGACTCAGTCAAGAACAAGTTTGGAGCGTATGTTTGATGCATAAAAATTTTAATTTCACATCTATAAATCTAATACTTCTTTACTAAAAGGAAATAGGTCTACAAACTACTGTTAATAGCAATGAGTGTATTACAAGAATTTATATTATTACATATTTATGTTAAAAAATTAAGTTTAATTATTTAATAATTCCAGTTGTTTTATATGTAAAAAGGCCTAAATACATGCAAGACCGTTCTGGTTTTCAACCATTGAAAGCAGATCCCTCGGGGATAGAGGGATTTGCATTCACAATAACTTTACTACTCTATTTATTTAACCTAAGAAATGTAATCCTTAGACCATTATTGTGCCTCTTGCAATCTGTTGTCTTGCTCATTTCCTCTAGTCACCATGATTTCCGAGTATATTAACTCATTTTGGGGATCACAGGGCTGGTAATGAATGATATGAATTAGCCACTAAATCCAAAGAGTCAATACTTACTGTGAGATTGTGGTGAGACTGTCTTATATTGATGTTTTGCTAATCAGACTTTTCACACAAAAATGATTTTATTGCTGTCAGCTTTCAAAAACAAGAATAATTTACATTAATTGTACTATGGGTGGTCCTTGACTTATCAGGGGTTACCCACAGGGGAATGAACCACCATCTAGTTTGGCATATATTGTACATAGCAGATGCCCTTCCACCCACAATCCAGCACTACGCTAGGAAACACTCAATCTGCATGCCACCACCCACACTCTCTTACACACACAAAGTTCAGACAATTGATCCTTCGCTAAGCCACACCCAAAAACCGCCACCCACGAATCGTGGCTTAGCTCTGTCAAACTTTCGAGCGAGTGTATATGGATTGTGCTAATTTGATATCGGGTATCCTTAAAGTTTGGACGAGATGGTGGAATTTTTTTCCTTTACAAAACCAAAAACCCAAGAGGAGATATGCCAGCGTGGATCAAAGCTTAAATGGGGGTTAAATGAGTGGAGCTAAGTTTGTTTTGTTTTGATATTCCTGACACATTCAGTGATTGACCAAAAGCAATAACTCAAACACCTTACCCTAAACAGATCTAAACTGTGTTTCCTACAAAAATACAAAGCAGGTTATGTTTTACAACTGTCTTTTTTTTTTCCGCTCGATATTATGAGTACAGCTCCATTTAAGCCTTAGCCATAGTAACTTAGTCATACAATTAGCAAATAGGTCATAATTACAAGAGTTATTGATCCGGAAAAATACAAAGATGCAAATCTGTTGCTAACTTTACTGAACTTCACATTTCCATCTATTTTAAAACTACGAATAGTTGAAATTTTAAATAAACAGAACAAAACCAAGATATGATCACAAACTGAGCACAATATACTTTACCAGCAGCTGTTTTTCATTCATTTATAAAGAGCACACAAACATACTGACAGTAATAGGTAACTTACTGTAGGTTGTTATAGGTCAATGATGCTAATTTTCGGCACAAATCCATCAGTTTTTCCCTCTGGCTGTTCTTTCTATGAATTACCTAACGTTATGTAAAAGCACTGTCCATGCGTGTTTCCTGGTCAGTTAGTGATGCTGTATTTCATTACAAAACAATTAATCTATCAGGTTTTATGGAAATCATGGTTTAATTTGTTATTATTAGATCATTTTAAAATGTCACCTCTCCTGCTGACCATGAGCTAAGCTTTTGAATGTTTAGTGTATGAGGCGGCTAGGTATGGCTTTAATTTTGATTGAATTATTCTCTAATCGGTTGCCTATTATGTCATGAATATACCTCTGTAATGCATACTGCATTCCTTTTTTGTCTGGCTTTCTTGGATATCTCACCTGTTCGCTAAAAATGACTATTATATCCCTGGCAATGTCGGACACTGGTGCATACACATTGTAAAAGCCTTGCCAGGCACAGAGGCTTGACAGGCATAGCAACAGTAACTAAGGAGGGTGGGGATTAGCGAATGGTCAATTTAGTAAACCGTATACCACAAGGTTTGACATTTGTTATAATAATGATCTTTTCAGAGTTAGATAAAAACTAAACCATTTACATGTTAGTTATATTTTGCTTTATGATAGATAGTCATTGAATTTAGTCTTAGATAAAAGTAGATTTTTTTTTTTTTTTTTACAAAAGTAATTAACAATATATTGAGTTATATTTAAGCATCTGATTTGTTGCACTTCATGTAACAATTGGTTATTTCATTACTCATGTATTTCAGTGTTAGTAAATTAGATTTTTGTTTGAGGATAGAAAGAGGAATTAAGTCTTTACTGTAAAGTCTATTTTCTTTTAATTTCTTAAAGCATATTTTTTTGCAGATGCAGTTAGTATTTATAAAAAAAAAAAAAAAATTGAAAAAAGTACAGTCAAATACATTAACAATAATTTATTAACATCAGAAAGCAAGCATAAAGGAGGAAACCGCAAACAAACACCTAGGACTTGACTTGTTGCAACAGCTTAAGCAACTTCCGTGATGAATGCGTATTGCTTCCAGCAGGTCCAGGAGCATTTTGATCTGTGACAGTCTGATAATTCACCTGTACTGGAATTGGAAGTTCAGGTTTCACTGACTGCAACACAGGCTTGTAGTTTGTAACTATTGGGGTGCTCCAGGTTTGAGAACTTGATGGCACAACCACAGAAGAGGTCTTCAAAACAGGCTGGAAGACTGTCTCATAACTTGACACTACCTGAGGTTGATAGCTGGTCTGCACTGGCACAGCCGGCGAAGAGCTGGACTGAGTGATAGACAGACTAGCAGGGAGCATTTGAGGCTGGGAAACAAACTTTACAGGAACGGAAGACACCTGGCCAGGAAGAACTTGTGCCTCAAAGCTGGAATACTCCAGTTTGTTGGGCTTTACTACAGGCAAATACAGATCTTGCCATAGCTTGGCTGGAGGCTGGTAGTTAGGCTGCTGCAATGGCCCTGAAGGATGACCAGTGGGCTGAGATGCTAAAGCATCATTCACTGGCCCAGGCTTGGCATCAGACAAACCACTGGGTTGGACCTCTAGCACACCTGGCTGCTCACTTTGAAGCACTACAGATTGCAAGCTAGGATGTCCAGAAACAGGAGCTGGTCTGAAAGATGTGAGGGGGCTGTGAACATCAAGATCCACAGGAATCAGGTCACTAGGCAGAACAGGCTTGATATCCAGAGCAAGGTTTGGAAGACTGTGTGAAGATGGAGAGTGATGTCTCCGCTTGTAACTGTGCTGTGGTAACTCATGGCATGAATACAGTTTGGAGCCAATCTGATGAATCTCATGAGACTGCACTGGCTTGAAAAAGGTTTGCCCATTCTGGTTGACAACATACTCATAACTGGACTGTCCTGCTTGCAGATGGCTTGGATGGCCTACAGATGAGCTGACCTGTGCTGGCTGTTGGACACCTAGCTGTGCCACCAACTGGTAGCTAGCTTGTGCTGGTTGTTGGGAAGCAGACTGGGCCTCTGCCTTGTAGACGGCTTCTACTAGTTGAGGCACAGCAGGCTTGCTAGCAGACTGGTAGACCATGTGTGCTGGTTGTTGAACAAATTCGGGCCCAGACTGAAAGCTGGTTTGTACTGGCTTTTCGCTACTGGACTCATCTACAGAAGTCAATCTTAATGTCTGGACATGACCATTTCTGGAAGGCTTGGATCCAAAGTGGGGTTTACCTTTGTGATGCTTGAGAGGAGTTGGTCCACCTGGTTGAGCCACAAAAACATAACGTCCATCTACTGGTTGTACATTACTTGACTGGGAAATTAATTGGCCTCCCTGCAAAAGCTGCTGGCTGGAGACCTGGGCCACAGGGGTATCAGCAGCCTGTTGAATTAGCTGGCCACTGGGCTGGACCACAGAGATGTCAAAGACACTGGGAGTCTGTATGATGCTTGGTCTATTCACAGTTTGGCCACTGGGCTGGGCTGATTGCTGGCTGCCTGACTGGCTAACAAGTTCATAGCTAGCCATAGCTAGGCTACTTGGCACACTACCATACTGTAGTATTGATGAGCTGGGTTGTGAGGCCTTGGAAGGTTTTGAGCTGATTGGTGCCTTGTGACCTGGCCTGGAACCAGTTTGATGGTGGTGTTTACCTTTCAGAGGCTTAAGGGGCCATCTACCAGAAGTCACGGCAGACTGGATGCTAGTCTGAGAAACTGGTTGGCCACTAGACAGGAATAACTGCAGAGGGTTAGACTGGGCCACGGTTCCAGAACTTGTTGGTTGCTCACTGCTGGACTGGGAAATGGTCTGCACCAACTGTTGGCTGCTGGGCTTCACTGCAGACACACTGCTAATTTGAAGTGGAATTGAGGAAACTACCTGCACTGGCTTAGAAACAGAATAACTGCTTTGCTGCAATGGGCTCAGGACAGAAGAACTGATGACTTCAGAGCCTTGGACAGAAGTTGACTGACTTGAATCATATTCAGACATGCCCATACTCGCTGCATTTACCACAGAACCATAAACAAGACTACCACTTCCAACAGAATCAACATGAAATCCTTGTTGGCTTGTTGTAGGAGATTCAGAGCCTGGTTTCTCATTTGTCATGGTAGTGCCTGAAGTGCCAGCCTGAGCTCTGTAGTTTCCAGTCTCAAAGCTTAATTTAACTTCATCTTTGCTGACTGGCCCAACTACAGCAGTTCCACCATAAAAGTCATAGAGACTTTGTTTCACCTTCTGCATGGACAGACTAGGATTACTAGATCCAACATGGCCTCCACTGCCAGGGCTGTATGCATAAACTATAAAACAAAAAACGCAATTAACAAAAACAACATATTCAGTTAGTTAACACTTCGGGGTGGAGGCTTACCATTTGCAATATCGTGAACACATGCACCAAGGGCTAAAAGTACTGCTAAAGAATACCTGCAAGAGAAAAAGCAATTTATAATACAAAATAAATGGTAGAGCACAATTAAGAACCAAAGCAAAACAACATAGGCCTACCTTAAAATCCACATTGTTGTAGCACGCATTGCAAACCAAGTCAAAACCATCCAATATCCTCAGCACAATAGCTACAAAATAAAAAGAGAAGCTTCTCCAAACAATGCAGTACCACTTCTGATCTGGCCTTTTATAGTGTGTGCAATACCAGCCGGTTTGCTAGCTCATTGCCTCAGACCAATCAGTTGTCACAGAAATGTTTAATGTATCATCATTAGTTTCAGGTGTCAACTGTTGCACGTTATTTTCATGGTATGCTATTTCAACAAACATTTATCCAAACAAATTAGCTCTTTATGTCTTGGAAAAGAGATAAACATATTCTTAACTGAAAACATATACTTTCTTTATTAAATAAAGAAAAAAGTACAAAGAAAAACAAAGTATTTCAGATAATATAATAATTGGCCAGTTCACTGTGTAGTTATGTTTTAAATGAGGCCATTTCACATTTAAAAATGTTTACAATGCATCTCTCTTTAAGCATTTTTCTAAACAAAGTTCTCAATGCCTAAAATGGCCATCTGATGTGCAAACTGGCTCATTGTGGTCAAATGACTTAAAAGTCTGGGTTTAAAAGAGTCAAAGTGAAGCTGAAACATACCAGCAGAATAAATGATTTTGTCATTAGCAGCAAAAATAGTTGAAAATAGGCTAATATTTTATCTTTGGTCATACAGATAGTGTAAGACATTATTTGAAACAGGATATTAGTTATTCTAGTTATGAGTGAGAGAGAGGGAGAGGGAACAAATAAGATGTGCTTTGAGGCATGCAGTTCTTATTTTAAATTTGGTTTTGTTAAGTATGAAACGTTTCATGTATTACAGTATATGGGATTTAATGCATTAGTGTATTCTCATTGAACAATCATTTTATTCAGTTAATGCTTGATTTGACAAACATCAGACACTGACTGAAATAAACTCTAACAGAGATTGACAAATTACTCTTTATTCTCTATCCTATTTTAACTAAGCTTTATATCTGGTTTTGTTGTATACCCTTTTTTGTGTTTTCGTCGATAATTTAAAAAAATTTATAAAGAGCATTACATGTTTATTTATTTAGATTTACACGCAAACAAAAACAAAACACATCTTTGTAAAACCAATGTAGCCTATGTAATATAACTTAATGTTACAAATAAATAATTAGGATGAGCATGTGCTGTATTTTATTTCTCTCTTAGTTTAAAGTCCTGTTTATTGTCATTTTCACTTTTTACTATGTTTATGTGAATTTTGTATTGTAATTTTTATGCAATGTTATTTCATCAAATTCAATCCAAAACATGCATATATGCACACATACAAAGGTAATCAGACTGTTTAGCAATTATGCCTCATCTTTGTGTTTTCATATAAGAAGTGAAAGAGGTGTAGTGTACATACACACACACTTAATATCAGAAATAAAAAAATCTGTTAAACAGAAATTGCGGAAAAAATAAACAAGGGGGTGAATAATTCAAGGGGGCTAATAATTCTGACTTTGAACATACTTGCACACACATACATTGTCAAAAGTCATGTTGACAGACCAAGAACTGTTGCGTAGGGATGCTATGCAAACCAGGACAGTTCCAAATGCAGCTTTATCAAAAACCAGCATTAACAATGTAGTATAGATACAGAAGTGTAATCCAAAAACAGGTAAAAGGTTCAGGGCAGGAAGCAAAGGGTGAAAACACGATTAACAGTCCAAGGTCAAAACCCACAGACACTCAAAGAGAACCACTAACATACAGCCAGCAACAGCTAAACAATACTCTGCAAATGTGTGTGAAACATAGAGGTTTAAATAGTCCAAATAATCAGTGTGTAAGCAGCTTCAGCTGTGTGTAATCAGTCTGGATCTGGAACTGGTTGTGTGTGCGTGACATGACTGGGTGTTGTAGTCCATAACATGGCAGATTTGTAGTTTGTGAGAATGAATATTTACAAGCGATCTCTGGTTTTTTAGATCGCTGGTAATCATGACAAGAACATTTTCACAGTATTTCCTACAGCCTAATAGTTTTTATTCAGGAGAAAGCCTTAGGCTGTTTATTTTAGTCTGGCTGGAATAAAAGTAGTTTATATAGGCCTAGTAAGCATGTCAATATAATTAGCCCCTTAAGAATTTCTTTATGTCTGCAGAACAAACCAATGTTGTCGAATGGCTTTCCTAATTTTTCTTTTAACATAATTAATCTATAGTTAACTCTTTAAATTGCACTTTAGGCTGAATACTAGTATCTTGCAAAAAACTGGTAAAATATTATGTAAATTAAATAATATAATATTGTCAGGCGAAGCAGTGGCGCAGTAGGTAGTACTGTCGCCTCACAGCAAGAAGGTCGCTGGGTCGCTGGTTTGGGCCTCGGCTCAGTTGGCGTGTCTGTGTGGAGTTTGCGTGTTCTCCCTGCGCTCGCGTGGGTTTCCTCAAAATCATGCGGTACAGGGGAATTGGGTAGGCTAAATTGTCCATAGTGTATGAGTGTGTGTGTGTGTGTGTGTGTGTGTGTGTGTGTGTGTGTGTGTGTGTGTGAATGTGTGTTTGGATATTTGTCAGAGATGGGTTGCGACTGGAAGAGCATCCGCTGCGTAAAAACTTGCTGGATTAGTTGGCGGTTCATTCCGCTGTGGCGACCTCGGATTAATAAAAGGACTAAGCCGACAAGAAAATGAATGAAATGAAATTACTATAGAAATGGACATTCCTAGCAAAACAAACAAACAAACAAACAAACAAACAAACAAACAAACAAACAAACAAACATTGCCATGACTTGCCACTCAAAAGTATCTTGCTATAGCTACTTATATTATAATCTAGCCAAATTAGATGTCTTGAAACCTTTCTTGTTGTATAAGCTGTTTACTTTGTCATTCTTTTAACATTTAACACTGTTGAATATACAGATTTTTATTTTTAATACACCCTTTTAAGTAATGATCTTTTCATCTTCAGTGATTGTGGTAATTTTTTTCTGGTAAAACAGTGATATTTCAATTGCATCCACTCCCACATTAAATACTACAGTAATTTTTAGAAATGCTTTAATGTTTTTTATCCATATTATAACAAATAGCTTATTTAAATTCTGTAGTTGCTCTGGTATCACAACTATAAACATAACCCAATACTGAATAAAACATTGTAATGTTTACTTTAAATTACCATAGTATTTTCTTCATGAGGTCATTTGTCCGCGATAAAAAACGCGAACACGATCTCCACCACTAGTGACTTTTCCAGGCGGCAAAACAGCGAGATTCAGAAAGTGTCCAACTTCTGATGTAATTTTTGAGCCCTACTCTTACTGCAGTCGCCTGCTCTCGTTTCCAATGCATCAAGGCGAGGCACACCTCAAATGAGCCTTATTTTATGTATTGCCAGAAAAGTGTATGCTTTTTAAAAGGAAGCAGGTCCTCTAACCCTCACATGAAGATGAGCAAATCATACTAAAAGTGAAAATACAAATGATATGAATTTGCCACTATATCAAAAAGTAAATACTTACCATGACAATGTGGTGGAGTGTTTCATATTGATGTTTTGCTGATCAGACTTTTCACATAAAATCATTTTATTGCAGTCAGTCTTCAAAAACAAGAGTAATATTCTTTTTTTTCATTTGGCTAGTCTCCGGGGAATGAACCACCAACTACTTTGGCATATATTTTACACAGCAGATGCCCTTACAACCACAATTTAGCAGTACACTAGTAAACACCTAATCTGCATGCCACCACCCACACTCTCTTACACACACACACACACACACACACACAAACACACACGCACGCACGCACGCTCGCACTCTCGCACGCACGCACGCATACACACACACACACACACACACACACACACACACACACACAATCAGACAATTTAGCTAATCCAAGTATAACAGTTAATCCTATATCACATGCCTTTGGTCACTTTTATTAATGTTCTGTTCAGAGTTGAAATAATAAAACGAAAGAATCACATGATTAAAAGTTAGATATTTATCTGCTTTATGTTGGATGATAATAAAATATAGTCTGGCACACAAGTAGATTTGGAATGCTGATTTAGTTAATACATTCTTGATTAAGCATATGATAGGTGATAGATGTTCATTTTACAATTTGTACTTACATTACTCATATACTTTAGTGTTAGAACACTGGATTTTTACTGTTGAGGATAGAGAGAGACCGGAAAAAAAGTCTTTACCGTAAAAACTCTTTTCTTAAATTATCAAAGCTTCTAATGTTTGCAGAAGCAGTTAAGTTTAAAAATAATGATAAAACTTTGGTCCACACACGCATACATTAACAATAATTTATTGACATTAAAAAGTAAACAAATCAGGAAACAAACCTCTAGGACTTGTTGCAATAGCTTGAGCAACTTCCTTGATGTATGCCTATTGACTAAGTTGACTGACTTGAATCATATCCAGACATGCCAATACTCACTGCATTTCCCACAGAACCATAAACAGGACCACCACTTACAGCTGAATCAACAGGTTATTCTTTTTGGCTTGTAGTAGTAGATTTGGAGCCTGGTTTTTCTCTTGACATGGCAGTGCCAGAAGAGCCAGCCTGAGATCTATAGCTTCCAGTAACAATTTTTGTGCGTACGCAGCGTTGATACATGAGGCCCCAGGTGTTTCTACAGTAGAACATATACCACAGCTTTAAACAGCTCTTCTCCATGCAAATGTACAATATCAATGTTTGAATTTTCTCCACCCAATGAACACACTTCTCTTCTAATTAACAGATTAAAATGTTGCATTGAGTAAAGCTGCGTTCACACTAGAGTTTTTGTGTGTGCGAACTTCTGTCGTATGGCGCTGCAAAAAGGGGCGGGATTAAACAAGATTATTAGACATAAAAAAAAGCGAGCGATTGCTCCATGTTTTAAATTTCTGTCCAGAGAGGTCATGTTTTGATCCATGATTGGTCTCACGCAGTCAAGTGATGCGATTTCGCAAGTCAGGTAGAGCTTTGCACCGCAGCGACCTGCGAAACTGCCGACTTCAGACTGCATGATTTTCAAAGTAGTCGTGTCACAGATGTTTTCACACTGCATGCCTATCTGGGCTAGTGTTCCGTCGCTGCTTTGTTTACACTGCAAGATGGATCGGCGACATGGGCTTTCACACTGCCTGACTTTACAATAAGAAGAATCGCCAACAACTTTGTCCAAACTCGTCTCACAGCCAAAAACAAGTAGTATATATTTTGTTATTAACTACATAACGGAAAAGAAGCCTTTAATGGGGTCGAAAAAGTACATATTTGCTCACCTGGGCTAGAAGGGAATTAGCAATTTCTCCTCAACATTCTTTTTTAACTTTCTGTATGAAACGTCAAACAGACATGGAGTTTTTCCTCCATTTCTTGGGTCGAAATAAACCGAAAATGAGCGCTTTTAACTTCTCCCTCAACCTCCCACTGACCTGCAGGCACACGCACACACACAAGCGAATACTGCTCTCTCATTGGCTGTAGGTGATCGCCAATGTTATTTTCAAGTCAAAACTCATTTCACACGAGATTTGCCTGTGATTTCAGACATTTGTCGGCGATTTCTCAAAACCTGTTGGCGAGTCAAAATCGGGGCTAAAATCAGGCAGTGTGAACTAGGCACTAATGCATGACCCTGCGTTTCCGGTCTGACGCATTCGCGTGCATATGAGTAGCTATGTTTCCATCCAAAAATGCAAATAAACTTTATGCGCAAAACTGGATTATCGCATAAAAGTTGTGCGAATGAAGCATCGTTTCCATCCAACGAGTCAAAGCGAACAAAATCGTCACTTCCTGATTTACTGGCGCCAAATATCAACAGTAAAAACTGCATTTGCTGCAGTAGGAAAAGCTGCATCAATCTTTTCTAAATGAATGCGCCTCAGAAGACAGTCCTGATAAGCAGTGAGCGAGCAGTGGCGTTTGAAGGTGTCAGATGCGGAGCACAGGCGCTCTTGATTCTAGAGGTCATTAATAATATAAAAACATTAATACTGAAATGGTAAGGCATTTTATAATGACCAAAACAACATTTCAGATGTTTTATAATGTGCTCAGCCTGACGTTTTATCCATTCACACACATTTTAAGCATCACATGATCTCTTTGAACAAAATCACATGACCTTTTTTAATGCGCATGCTGGAGTTTGTGCGGTAAAAGTGTTTCCATCGCAGTTTATGCGCATCTTTTCTTATCGAATAAAAAGTTCATCCTACCCAGTTAGGCGCATAAGTTTTTTATGCGCATTGTCAAAATTTATGCGCATCATGGCGTTTCCATCAACTGGTTTTTTATGCGCATTTGCAAAATAGGTGGATGGAAACATAGCTAACACAAGTCTATGGGGAAAAAAGTCAAGTGTGATTGCAGCTTAATGTTTACCAAACCAGAAAAAAATTATATATTTAATTTATTTATTAGGCAAAATATTTTTTTTTCTTTGTACTTTTTTATTGAATCAAGAAAGTATACAATTTCATTTAAGAATATGTATATCTCTTTTCCAAGACATGACAATCTAATTTGTTTGGATAAATGTATTGTTGAAATGACGTACCATGAAAATAACGTGCAACAATTGACACCTGAAACTCATGATGATCCATTAACCGGCCCATTTAGACAACCGATTGGTCTGAGGCAATAATCTAGCAAACTGATTGGAAGTCACACACTATATATAAGGCCAGATCAGAAGTAGTTTTTATGTATGGTTTGGTGAAAGCTTTTTCTGTTTATTTTGTAGTTTTTGTGTTGAGAGTAGTGTATAGTTGATTTGACTATGGGTGTTAAAACTATGGGTGTTAAAACTATGTGGATTTTAAGGTATGTTGCTTTGTTTGTGTTCTTTGTGTGTTCTACCATTTATTTAAAATGACTGTTCTTCCCTTATAGTGTTTCTTTAGCAGTACTTTTAGCCCTTGGCACATGTGATTATGACACTGCAACTAGTAAGTTTATTTACTTATTTGTTTTAATTTATTTAAATCTAGCATCTAATTTTAATTGCGTTTTCTTGTAGTTTATACATACAGCCCTGGCAGCAGTGGAGGGAATCCTAGATCTGAAAATTCCAGTCCATTCATGCAGGAAGTGAAACAAAGCCTCTATAGCTTTTATGGACTAACTGATGTACTTGGACCAGTCAGGAAGGATACAGTTAAATGGGGCTATGATGCTGGTAGCTACAGATCTCAGACTGGCTCTTCAGGCACTCCAGTGACAAGTAATAAACCAGACTCTGAATCTCATGCTACAAGCCAACCAGGATTTCAAGTTGGTTCAGCTGCGAGTGGTAGTCTTGTTTATGGTTCTGTGAGAAATCCAGTGAATATGGGTGTGTCTGGGTATGATTCAAGTCAGTCAACTAATCTCCAAGTCTCTGAAGTAATCAGTTCTTCGGACTTGACCCCATTGCAACAAAGCAGTTATTCTGTTTCTAAGCCTAAGCCAGTACAGGTAGTTTCCTCAATTCCACTTCGAATTAACAGTATGTCTGTGGCAAAGCCCAGTAGCCAACAAATTGTGCAGACCATTTCCCAGTCCAGCAGTGAGCAACCAGTGAGCTCTGGAACAGTGTCCCAGTCCAGCCCTCAGCAATTCTCTCTATCCAGTGGTAAACCAATGTCTCAGACTAGCCTCCAGTCTGCAGTGCAGTCTGATAGATGGCCCCTCAAGCCTCTGAAAGGTAAACCCCATCACTCTGGTTCCTGGCCAGTTCATAATGTGGCAACCAGCTTTTTAAAGCCTTTGCAAGCTTCAAAACCTAGTTTATCAATATCGCAGTATGGCAGTGTACCAAGCAGCCTAGCTGTGGCTAGCTATGAACTCGTGAGCCAATCAGCCCAGTCCAGTGGCCAAACTGTAAATCAACCAGGCATCATACAATCTCCCAGTGTCATTGACCTCTCTGTGGTCCAGCCCAGTAGTCCGCTAATTCAACAGGCAGTTGACACCTCTGTGTCCCAAGCCTCCAGCCAGCAGCTAATACAGGCAGGCCAATCTGTCTCAACGCCAAATGTACAACCAGTAGATGCAAGTTATGTTTTTGTGGCTCAACCCAATGGACTGCAGCCTCCCAAGCACCACAAGGGTAAACATCACTTTGGGTCTAAGCCTTTCAATACTAGTCCTCACCAGACACTAAGATTTACTTCTGTAGGTCAGTCCAGTAGCCAGATGCCAGCACAAACCAGCTACCAGTCTGTGTCTCAACCATCTCTACAACTGCCAGTACAAGCCAGCTACCAGCCAGAGGCTCAGTCTCACTCCCAACAGCCAGGACCAACAAGATACCAGTTGGTAGCCAAGCCCAATGTTCAAGAGCCACCAAAGATTAGCTTTTCTGCAGCGCCACTTGCTCTTCAAAAACCAGCACAAACTAGCTACCAGTTGGTGGCACAACTAGGTGTCCAACAGCCAGCACAGGTAAGCCTACCTGTAGCCCAACCAAGCCATCTGCAAGAAGCACAATCCAGCTACGAGTATGTTGCCAAGCAGAATGGGCAAACCCTTTTCAACCCAGTGCAGTCCCATGAGATTCATCAAATTGGCTCCAAACTTTATTCATGCCATGAGTTACCACAGCACAGTTACCAGCGGAGGCATCCGTCTCCATCTACACCTAGTCTTCCAACCCTAGCTCAGGATTTCAAGCCTGTGGTTCTGCCAAGTGATCCGATTCCAATGGACCTGAACCCTCTCAGTTCTCTCGCATCTACTTTCAAACCAGCACATCTGCGTGAACATCCTGTCTTGCAGTCTGTAGTGCTTAAAAACGAACAACCAGTTGAGCTAGAGATCCAATCAAGTGATTTGTCTCTTGTCAAGCCTGGACCAGTGACTTCTAGTTTTGTATCTCAGCCCACTGGTCATCCTTCAAGACCATTGCAGCAGCCTGGCTCCCAGCAACCAACCAAGCCGTTGCAAGATGTGTTTTGGCCCGTAGTCAAGCCTGACAAACTGAAACCTTCTGGTTTTGAGGCACAAGTACTACCTAGCCATGTATCTTCAGTTTCAGGACAGTTTGTTTCCCAGTCTCAAATTCTGCCAGTTGGTCTGTCTCTTGCTCAGTCTACCTCTTCCCTAGCTGTGCCAGTGCAGGCAAGCCAATTGGTTTCCCAGTCAAATGTGCAACCAGTTGATAGACATTCTGTTTTTGTGGCCCAGCCCAGTGGACTGACTCCTCTCAAGCACCACAAAGGTAAACACCATGTTGGGTCCAGCTACCAACCTCAAGTTCTGTCAAGTTCTGGGACTGTTTTGCAGCCTGTATTACAGACTACTTCAGTGGTTGTGCCATCAAGTTACCAGTCTACAAGTTCCCAAGCCTGGAGTAACCCAATAGTTTCAAACTTCGAGTCTGTGCAGCCTGAACTTCCAATTCAAGCACAGTTGACTTATCAGTCTGTCACGGATCAAAATGCTCCTGGCCCTGTTGAAGGCAGCAGGCATCCATCACAGAAGTTGCTCAAGCTGTTGCAACAAGTAAAGTCTTAGGTGTTGTTTGCAATTTTCCTGATTAATGTTTACTTTCTGATGAAAAATAAAAAAATTTTTGTATTTGACAAGTTCAGTATTTATTTTTATTTATTTTTTTTAACTGTATCTGCAAAAATGAGGTTGGGGAAATTGGTCTTGAGCAGTTTTACAGTAACACTACTTTTAACTTTCATTTGTATTGTCCAAGCAGGATATAACAAATCTTCACAAGTTGTCTTAATTTTACATTGCATGTAAACAAACAGGGTCTTACTTCCAAGAACACTGAACTGTACATTTTAAAGTAACCATGTTATCATCTGTGCCAAAAGCCTAGTGGTTAAGTGCACTCATTTACTTGTAGTGCTAAGGTGGTCATGGTGACCCCAGTATAATGTCTGACTTGATGTAATTTGCTGGTCCTTTCCATTCATTCCTGTGTCTTCCTCTACTATCCTATTGAAGTTGAGAAATTCCTATTATGTACAGTATGTGTCTATTAAACTGTGGATTGACTTATTGTTTCTGCAGTATAATCACATTTTGTAGCACTGAATTATGGATGTCTCTTAATTCAGGTGAACGGTATCAGTGCTGAGCAGTTGCTTTTCCCTTCCCGCTGACCACACTAACCTAACAAAATATATTGCCTAATAATATTTGCCTTTCTTTTTTTTTAGACATGTTGCAAACAGGGTTCGAAATCCATAAAGCAGCATACAGGAATTTAGCAGAACACTCATTCAGTAGAAGCAACTTTTACCATAACAATGTGTCTGCAGAATATTTCCTCACTTTTGAACTTAAATTACTGCCTTGCATGCAATTCACAAATAGACTTATAATATAAACTATATTTAAATCATTTGCACAATTTACTTTGATCAAAGTGTACTTTTATATTTAAATTTACAGTATGTCTCTCTTTTCCAAAACATAAAAAGCATATTTAGATAAATTCGTTCCTCAAATTAAGATTTATCTATTTTTTTTAATTATCTTGCTTCGTATAACTTTTGTTATCTTTTTAAAATGAAGTTTATGCATTTAACCCTGACTGCAGTAGAGGCTATCCTGGATCTAATAATTTCAGTCAATTCATGCAACAACTGAGAGTATCTATAACTGATATAGCTTAACTGATGTAGCTGGACCAGTCAGCAAGTATACAACTTACTGTGCTGCTGATAACACTGGAAGCCACAGTTCTCAGGCTGGCTCTTCAGGCACTCCCATGATAACTGAAAAAACAGGCTCTGATTTTTGTTCTAGAAGCCACCTTCAAGGATTTCATGTTAATTCAGCTGGAAGTTGTATTCTTATTTATGGTTCTTTTGTAAATGCAGCGAGTATGTCCAGGTATGATTTAAATCAGTCAACTAGTGTCCAAGGCTCTGAAGTCCTCAGTTCTTCTGTCTTGACACCTTTGAAGCAAAGCATTTGTTCTTTTTTTTTTAAGTCAGTGCAGCCAATTCCTAAAATTCCACTGCAAACCAGCAGTGTGTCTGTGACAAAGCCCAACAGCCCACAGTCAGTAGAGACTATTTCCCAGTCCAGCTGTGAGCAACCAGCAAGTTCTGGAACCATGACCCAGTCTAGCCCTCTGTAGTTATCCCTGCCCAGTGGCCAACAAAAATCTTAGACTAGCTTCCAGTCTGCAGTGCAGTTTAGTAGTTTAAGGGCCTACTCACACTATGCCATCCATACCGTGCCCAGGCCCGTTTCCCGGATCGTTTGAGAAGTGTGAGTGCACTGAATCGGGCTCAAGCACGGTTCACTTGGCCGGGCCTGGCCAAGTTGGAAGAGGTGGGTCTGAGCGCGGTTCACTTGGGCTTTGGCGCGGTACGCTTGTGTGTGAGTGCAAAACGCGCCAAAGCCGAAACTGAAAGCGAGACGTGACTGTTACGGGACTGTTTCATATGGATTTATTAATCATTCTTACTGTTCAGTGAACGCAAACTGCTGTAGTGTATTAAAAACGAGAACTCCTCACTGCACGACAGCTGCACGGCTTCACCAGACCTCCTCATTCCTGCAGCACGAGAGCTTTATGATTGTTTTTGAGTGCCAAAATTGGCGCATCTGTTCAGCGAAATATCTGACTGCATGTCACCGCATTCCTAAGGACTGTTTGGTGAAATATTTGACTGCATGTCACTGCATAACAAACGACTGAAACGATATAACTAGAGAAATCTCCACTGTGCTGCTGAGTGAGAGCGCTTCTCACTGAACAGCGCAGCAGCAATGACGTAAGCGTGCCGAGGCCCATTTGGGGTGTGAGCGCGGGCCGTCGGGGGAGACGGGAGGGGGGACAAGCGTGCTTTGGCCCGGTTCGAGGCAACTGTACCTAGTGTGAGTACGGCCTAAGCCCCTGAAAGGCCAGTTCATAATGCAAATATCAGCTCTTCATTTATTCATTCATTCATTCTCTTTTTAGCTTAGTCCCTTCATTAATCTGGGGTTGCCACAGTGTAATGAACTGACAAATTATCCAGCACATGTTTTATGCAGCGGATGCCCTTTCAGCTGCAATCCAAGACTGGAAAAAAAACTCTTGCACACACTCACATACACTACAGACAATTTACCTCATTCAAATCACCTGTACCGCATGTCTTTGAACTGTGGGGCAAACCTGAGCACCCGAAGGAAACGAACACAAACACCGGGAGAACATGCAAACTCCACACAGAAACGCCAACTGACCCAGCCAGGGCTGAAACCAGTGCCCATTTTGCTGTGAGGTGATTGTGCTACTCACTGCACCACTGTGCTGCCCATCAGCTCTTCAAAGTCTTTGAAAGCTTCACAACCTAGTTTATCAATATTGCCAAGCCATCTTTAAGCAGCACAATCCAACTGCAAGTATGTTGTCAAGCATAATAGGCATCGCTTTTCAAGTCAGTGCCATTCCATAGGATTCATCAGATTGGCTCCAAACTGTATTCATACCATACACTACCTCAGCTCAGTTACCAGTGGAGGTATCAGTCTCCATCTACACTTAGTTATTCAATACCAAGCTTGTTGTTCTGCCCAGTGATCGGTATTCCTGTGGACCCTAACCCTCCCAGCCCCTTCACACTTTCAAACCAGCACATCTGCCTGGAAATCCTAGCTTACTGTCAGTAGCGCTTCAAAGCGAACAGCCAGCTGCGCTAGAGATCCAACCAAACTATTTGTCATATGCTAAGCCTGGACCATTGATTTATAGTTTTATATCTCAGACCACTGGTCATCCATCAAGACATTTGCAGCAGCCTGGCTACCAGTCTCCTGCCAAGCTATGGCAGGATGTGTTTTGGCCCCTAGTCAAGTCTAAGAAAGTGGAGACTTCCAGCTTTGAGGCACAAGTTCTTTCTAGTAAGGTGTCTTCTGTTCCAGGACAGTTTGTTTCCCAGCCTGAAATACTGCTCACCAGCCACCACGAATGTCAAGTTATGAGACCGTCTTCCCTCTTCAGTGGTTGTGCCATCAAGTTACCAGTTTACATCAAGTTCCCAAGCTTGGAGCTGACCAATAGTTTCAGACTACAAGTATGTGTTGCAATCCTTGCTACCTGAACTTCTAATTCCAGTACAGGTGAATCATCAGTCTGTCACAGATCAAAATGCTCCTAGACCTACTTAGCAGTAAATATTCATCCCACAAGTTTCTCAAGCTGTTGCAGCAAGGTAAGTCCTATGTATTTACTTGTTTGCTTTCTGATGTTAATACATATTCATTATATTACACAATACCACAATTAATCCTGCTGAATGTACAAGTGAAAGTAAGTTCTGGGTTTAAAAATAAGTCTAAGCATTATCTGCTCAAGTTCAGACGCTGAGATATATATATATATATATATATATATATATATATATATATATATATATATATATACGCATGGCAACATGTTGACACGTTCGAGCATGAACTCGGTTCAAATCCAGCGTCTGATGAAGACGTTCTTCTTTTTTTCCCCTGCTACATATCAGATTTTGGCTACTATTCATCACGAGGAAGACAAGTAGGAATCATTAACAAGTGTGTGCATCATATATTATTTGCACATTTATTGAATGGAAATGTTTTTGATTCACGTATACAAATTTGTCTTCAGGTGGCACCTTTATAGCCATGTGCATGCAGTTGATCGCTGCGATTACATTGGGAAAACCAGCGACCGCTCAAATTTTTTAATGTTTGGCTGGTCAACTGCATGGTATTGAAACCTTATATACCTGCTAGACATGCTGATGAACCTATACAGCTGCCATTACACGGCTCAAAGATACTTTGTAGTGTGCAATTTAACATGATTGCCTATAGGGGTCGCCAATGAAAGTAAAACACACACACAAGAACAGCATGTCCTCCAGACATGAAGTTGGCGTGGAACAACGCATATTCTCACGTTCATTACATCGTTAGTAAATCCAACAAGAGCATGAAACCTGGCGTACGCAAAGTTTTTGTGCATACGCAGCGTTTGGCCATATGGCCAAATTGACCTATCAGGTCAGAAGAACCTTGGTAAGAGAGGTAAAGAAGAACCCAAAGATCACTATGGCTGAGCTCCAGAGATGCAGTCAACAAATATGAGAAAGTTCTAGAAAGTCAATCATTACTTCAACCCTTCAACAGTCAGGGCTGTATGGCTTTATGGCCTGACACATGAGTTCCGCATGGAGTTTGCTAAAAAAAAAAAAACTGAAGGATTTTAAGATGGTGAGAAATAAGATTCTCTGGTCTGATGAGGCCAAGATAGAACCTTTGGCCTTAATTCTAAGCGGTTTGTGTGGAGAAACCAGGCACTGTTCATCACCTGCCCAATACAGTCACACCAGTGAAACATGGTTGTGGCAGCATCAAGCTGTGGTTTTCAGCTGCAGGGTCAGGACGACTGGTTTCAATCGGGGGAAATAAAAATGCCGCTAAATACAAGGATATCCTGGATGAAAACCTTCTCCAGAGTGGTCAGGACCTCAGACTGGGCCTTAAGGTTTACCTTCCAATGAGACAATGACCCTAAGCACACAGCTAAAATAACAAAGGAGTTGTTTCACAATAACTCTGTGACTGTTCTTGAATGGCCCAGCCAGAGCCCTGACTTAAACCCAATTGAGCATCTCTGAAGAGACCTAAAAATGGTTGTCCACCAATGTTTATGATTTAACCTGACAGAACTGGGGAGGATCCACCAAAAGGAAAGGCAGAAGATCCCCGAAGCCAGGAGTGATAAACTTGCATCTTTTCCAAAAAAAAAAATTTAAAAACATGGCTGTACTAGATCAAAAGGGTGCTTCTACTAAATACTGAGCAAAGAGTCTGAATACTTAGGACCATGTAATATTTAAGTTTTTCTTTTTTTAATAAATCTGCAAAAATGTCAACAATTCTGTTTTTCTGTCAATATGGGATGTGTGTGTACATTAATAAAAAATTAACTTAAATGATTTAACCAAATGGCTACAATATAGCAAAGAGTGAAGATACTATCTGTACCCACTGTATATATATATATATATATATATATATATATATATATATATATATATATATATATATATATATATATATATATATATATTGCACGATAAAAAAAAAATATTGCCGTTAATCTGTTCTCAAAGTTGGGTTGTGAGCTGGGTCTATTCTACGCAAGCTATGATGACTTTCACCTTGATATTTTTGAGCATATGTATACCTGCCCGGTGATCTGTCTGACTAAAAGGTGCCCTTCTGAATCAAATCAGCAGGATGCTCTTCTGGATCTTTCACTTACTTTGAAGACATTACTGACTAGACTACGCTTACATGGACATCTGTAATCTAGTTATTTGCCATAATAGACAATAACATAGCAAAGGTGTTTACGTGAAGTGCTTTCATTTAAGCACTGTAATTCCTGTAATTTTGGGTGACTTTAACTGAAGCTCGGCAGTTTCACATTCACTCATGAACATTTCATTTATGCCCCTGTGACAAACTGGGGTATTAGAAAAAAATAAGGAGTAAGGACTGCTAAAAGTGTTATGGAATTTAATAATGCACACCAAATGGAAAGAAAAAACTTCCGCATTTCGATGTGTGTATGTGTGTGTGTGCGTGCGGTCCTTTACAGACAGTGTGTGGATCTTGTTGGAAAATATGGCAAAAATTTTACATGAAAGTTATAGTTTTAATGCGGTGTTTACTTCAATAATGCCACTAATATCTGCATACTCCACGTCTCAATTCCATTTCTGTTTAGTTCAGCTGTGACTTTAGTCGGATTAAGGTGATCAAAAATCGCTGTTTCAAACTTATGTAGGCCTCAGTTCAAAATTCATGTTTACCTGAATAAACAGTAAACACAAGTACATCTTATTTAACATAATTTATTTTCATCATCAATTATAGTAGAACAGTTTCTCAAGCAGTTTGTGATGGAATTTGGAAACAGGAGATGAGCCCCTGGTCTAATGCGCCACTTGGCTTGAGAAACCCATTCTCAAAGACTTTTAGTAATTATTCAGGTAGCACACATATTCTGAATGCCTTCAGCAGAATTCAAATGAGCCATTTTTTTCGAGATTATTTCAAGATTATAGTGAGTTCAATCTAGTTTAATAAAATAAAAAAAACTATGCCCATGCACAAATTATATATATATATATATATATATATATATATATATATATATATATATATATATATATATATATATATATATATATATTTACATACAGTCGCCCTCCTTTTAAATTTGACAGTTTTTCTCAATTTCTTTGGTTCAAATTTCGAAAAGAATAATTACATTTTTGAAACCAGATCTCTGAACATTTTGCTTGATCACATATTTATACCATACCACAACATGTTTATACCATACATATCTGATACTGACATCAGCTTGTAATGTATGCTAAATTGGTTAAGGTCCTCCATTAGCAATATCATGTGCATCATCTAGTTAATTAATCAGGATTGTGAGCATATGGATTGCCCACAGCACAATCACTACCTCTACAATCCTGAACTGCAGAAACATGTGGAAGAGCAATTGGAAGACGTGTCTATTTTTTTTCTTTTTTTTTAGATGTTTATTTTGTAGTGTATTTGTGGTAACATAAATACGAAACGCAGTTATTGGAATATAAGCAAGATTGCACTTTACATGTAATACATTCATACAAAAATACATGCATGTTCCTTTTTTATGTACAATTGACTCTTCTTAACAAATCGTCACCTTAGAATTATAAGGTTCTATCTGTGCTTTGAATGATTTTGAGATGTTGAGCTTTAAAGTTTTTGCTTAAAGCAAAAAGTATGTGTGTAACATTTTTTTAAAAATAAAAAGTATTAAAATGTAAACAACTGATAAAAAATATCTAATAATGTAAATAAGTTGTCATTTAATAGGAATATGCCAATAACTCACTTTGAATAACTAAATTTTACAGACATGCACTACAGTTGTGAAGTTCAAGCAAACCGTTTGCACCATCTGCACTTACAGTTTAGATAATGTTAAGACTGTAGAAAAATGTGCCGAAGCAATTGAGGAAAACAGTAATTCTTATATATTGTGCCCCAGTTTCTGTTTATTGGAGAGAAGATTTCTTTCAACACATCTCTAAACATAAGAAACTAGCATTTTAATACTAGCATTCAGCTTAAAGTGCAATTTAAAGGCCTAACTAAGTTAATCAGGTTAGGTAATTAAGTAGTAGGTTAATTATTCTAATAAAATAATGTTATTCTGTTAAGCCAATTATACAGAATTTTAAAAGTAACATTGATATAACTTGCTTTTTCTGTGAAATTCCCACTGAAAGTAGCTCACTTAGTTTGGGAATGTCCTTTTGTTCAACCTTTTTGGATTAATGTGAATGCTTTCATTATCATATATATCAACAGACACCTTGTTAAATATAAAATTCAAGTTTTTGTGTAAACCTTGTGTTATTTATTAAAAAGTTTTATAAATGTAAACCCATTTTTAGCATATTCAAACAAGAGCTGAAACAGTTTTGACATACCATTCAATATCTAGCAGCCTACACACTAATGTTTAAACTTTGTGCTTATTGATTGTTTAATAGGCATATTCATTAATATTCATTTCCTTTTCATGTGCCCTCTTGTTTTCCCCTTATATATCTTATACTTTTGTTACAGGCTACTTACGTCAAAATAATTCCCTTGTTGTTGATAATGAACAATAGTTTGCATGGACTATTCCGTTTTATTTGTACTGTAACACTTTGTTGTTGTTGCAATAAATAAATAAATCATTGATCTCCCATGTGATCTGTCTTGCAGCAAACTACGAGCTGACACCCCGACCTGACAGCCTCTTTTTCAACTCCGCCCCCACCTGCGCTCGGCTAATCTCGTTGATTGCCGGCTGCAGCCGTGCTTCATGTCGAACGCACCTATGCTGCCCACGTGATTCAAACACAATCAAAGGAGTCATTTGTTGACGAGTCAGACTTCGAACATTCTGATAAAAAAAAAACAGAGAAAACACATTAGAAGGGGAAATTCTTGTCAGGTTGGTATCTTTCTCGCCAGATAAGGGTTTATTCGTAAAGTTTGCGTCATGGCAGGATCGCACGACGGGTGTTTGTTGATACACACTGAAATTGGCTTTGTAAATCGACGCCCCCCTAAAATGATGCCTTAGGTGGTCGCAGTTGCTGTGGTGTTCAGAATGTATTTAAGTGGTTTTCTGTGCTGTTGTTAGGGTGTTCTTGGGTGGTGAAAGGTTTGTTTAGATCCCTCTAATGTTTGAGCATTAATATAGATATGTTGCAATACACAATAGTACACAATAACTAACAAAAATACTTATTTTCTGCTTTGATATATGAAGAGCTCAGATGCAAAAACCTGTCATCCAGGATTTTCTTCTGCAATGACCATTTTTTTAAGCCTATTACAATAATGTTCATTTTTTTTTCGTGTTAAAAGTGCTGAAAATAACATGTTATTTTCTATAAAAGTGAAATTACTGAATCAAGATATAGAAACCTGAGAAAATTGCTAATATAAGAAGAGTTTGAGATGGCACTTTACATCTGCACTATATATATATATATATATATATATATATATATATATATATATATATATATATATATATATATATATATATATATAATGTGTGTGTGTGTGTGTGTGTGTGTGTGTGTGTGTATATGAGCAATTAATCTTATCATGAAAAGTTTTCAACAAAGTACAGAAACTGTTTCTGTTTTTTTTTTTTTTTTTTTTTTTTTTTGCATAAACAAGTATTTTAAAGTACTTTAGAAATACTCCTATTATATTTCATTTACCAAAGTCACACAAGTGGCGATTTCACATCTGTCAAATCCGTATAGGAGAGATGTCACATTTCTAACGACACTTTTTCCTTATAAATGCACAAATGTTAAATAAAATCAATAATTTTGTTCTATACAAATGAACTCCTCTACTTTTGATTAGCATTATCTATTTTGGGTTGAGCAGTTTCACAGAATTTCTACTAAGTATATTGTATACTGTAAACTTGCAGATTTTTTTGTCACATCCATAACACATTTATTTTTTCTTTATTTAAAGTACAGAACATGTTTACAGAATTGTATGTTTCTGATCCCATAACTCTGTGGTTAGTTGTTTTGAAAAATATAAACGTCCATAACGCTGGAATTGCTCATATATATTAGTTTATTTTGTGCTAAAAAAATACCATGCCAAGAAACAATGAATTAAAATACATTTTTTGATGGGGCAAGTAATTTTATTTTTTTCTGCTGGGCCATTAAATAATATGAAGTCTTTAGCTATATATAAATCTGAAATTTCATTCTTGGTGGTCTTATGCCCGATTCACACAGGACTTTGCCGTCAACGCTTGACCGAGGGCGTTTCTGAAGTTGGGAGTGATGCGATCGTCATAGCAGCGTCAGCCAATTAAATTAGTCCGCAATCGGACACTGTATGAACTAGGGTATTTGCATTAAGCGATCTGATTGGCTGACTCTTCCATTAACGATTAAAAAGTTGAGAATTTCCCAACTTCTGCAACAAGCAATGTCACTGAAGTGACGCCGACGGACCCACAATGCAGTTCAGCAATGCCTGACGTCAACCATTCAAAGTGAATAGGAAGCGTTGACACTGACGCCCCGTGTAAATGGGGCATTTAAAAGTGTAAACTTTGACTTGGTGAAATCTGCAGAAACACTGGTTTAAATATTTATTTAATGTTTAATAAACACACTGCTGTAGTCATTTATTGATAATATTCTTGTGTGCCTTGATCTGTGTGTATTCATACACTCTCATATCTGTGTCCACTATACATGCTAGGCAGAAGACCCTGGAAATGCAAGGTATTAAAAACTATTTATCAGTGTCAAACAACAGACAAACCCTGAGACCTGCCCTGCCTTGCAGCCAATGAGAATCCAGACGATGTTAGCGTCAGCGACTGACCAAGGGAGCATGCTGATGAAGACCTTTGAGTAGATGCTTCTCATGTGAGTATTTGGACTTGCTCTTTATGCTCTCTCTAGCAAACACACTTGAATTCTACTTCCTCTCACCAGTTTCTCTGTATTCCCTTTGAATCTGTCTCACCCCCTTCCGCTTCGAACGCTATCTTTTCTTGCTCAGGTCGTAATACAGAGGCAAGATTAGCTCCTGTAGGCTTTGATGCACCATAAGGTCAGCTCTGAGATCGATGTAGCAAAAGAAAAAAAAAAGAAGAAGTAAAAACCCCCATGCACACAAACTCACTCTTCTGAGCAATCAATGGCTCTTTATATTTATCTGAGGGGGGCCTGATAGTGTCTGAAGCATCAGAGCTTTCTCCAGCACTCATCTTTGATGGGCTATGACACTTTTTCTCACTGTTCTCTGATCCCAGTCAATTAAGTAGATTCGTCTGAGCAGCATCGCAGAGAAACCGGCTGTTGCTTTGACAAACGCAGCATACATTCAGCCATGCATCAATTTTCCTGGAAATAAAAATCAATTAGGGGTCATTCCACATAAATATTTCAATTGTACAGATGTAACAAGATTGAGTGCACTTATGTAAATGAATTGATTTGAAATATTATGTAAAATACAGCTGAGGGAATACAAGAACTAGACATATTTCTAGATAAACAGCATGACAGTCATACTAGCAATGAAGTAATGTATAAATAACAAGTCAGATAGTTTTATTATAATTAAAAGTGGTTTAATACATTACAATTATTAATTCATTACAATAATAATCAATGAATGTGTATTATGAGTAGTAGTATTTTTTTTAATAAATCCATTCTAACTCAATTTAATTGATAGATTTATTCTCTTTATAAAGGGTTCATTATTACAAACAAATAATTTAACCTAAAATATATTATATAAAAAAACTGTTAATATAAAGCCATTTTGCTCTTTTGTAGGTTATCCATTTTCGAGTTATGCTGAATAAATCTGGGAGTAGGCTGTGCAATAAATTGTGCCAGAAACCCTTAAGATCAATGTATCAGTTATTGATTTCTAAATCTTAATAAAATTCGTATAAAAATGTATTGTTACAAATTTACCAGTTATAGCTCAAAATACACTCAGATGGACATCTTACGTCTCATGTAATTATTAAATCAGTGTTTAAATTATTGACCTTATTCTCCGCAGACGAGCGGGCGCTGCTATTTGAATCTTTTTGGCACGAGACTTCCGGTCTCATTCACTTCCATTCAATTTTAGACATTAAAAACTGCTCGTTTCGCTGTTTGATGTTGCAAACTGATATTTCCTTGTTATATTATTCTACTTGGTCTGTATAGTCATGCAAACATTTGTTTGTAAAGCAAGTAGTTTGACCGTTTTTTGCCGTTTATTATTCCTTGTCATTTCTCCCATAGGCAACTGAAACGGAAGTTCTAAGACAATCGCGAAAACAGGCGCACTCCGCATTTTAGAATAAGGTCAATACAAATATGTCAGTTAAACCGTTCATAAACAATGTCATACAAAACTGACCATTTCTTGTAACATTTGCATTATATTACATGCAGTATATATTCATTATATTTTCATTGACCTCTTAGTGATGTTTTAGTTGTTTAATTGTAAACTGTGTAGACTGTTTTTGAGTACAAACATAGTTTAATAACAATTTGAATTCAAATTTGATGTAAAGCCTTTCTAATGCACATTTCAAACGTTTTCAAGCCTCTTTTTTTATTTGAGTACTGAATATTATATCCATAACAATAAAAGCAATTGCTTCTTTAGCAGTTTATGCTCTGTTGTTAATTGCAGACTTTGGTATTATAGTAATACGCGAGTAATAAAGCTACAAATAAAGTTACATATTTGGTATCAAACAGTTACAAAGAAGATATTTTAAAGTATGTTTCAAGCTGAAAACCATTAAAATTCATTGTTATGGATACCAGATTCTAACATCTTTCGAAATAACTCCTTTGTGTTGAAAAAAAAAAAAAAACAGATTTGTGACAAGTGAAGTGTGAGTAAATGATGACAGAACTTTGGGTGACCTGTGCTTTTAAAAGAAACATGATGCAAAATAAAAGTAATAAAGCAAATCTTTTTTTCTAAACGCTGTCTCACATATAGATCTTTTTAAAATGTATGAGAGTATGTACTGTAGGCTATATTTGAGAAATGCTACTTATAAGCTTTAGGGACCCTGAGCCTGTCCCTGAAGGATCCTTTGGGCTTGCAGAGGGAGGTGATATGTTTCCAGCCCTATGGGGGAGACAGACCTTTAACACAAAAGCAAAAGCCGGTTTTGAAGGAAACTGCTCTGAGTTTAAATAGAGCTTAAAGGACACTCAGAGGATTTGCAGCTGCTTACACAGATTTACCTTGAACTTGCTTTGGACTAAAATCAGTTACAGGTTGTACACGATTCATGTAACAAACTGTATGTGCACTACTAATTGCTATCTATCTACTGTAATTATAAATATTTATTAATATGTAAAGTAATTATAGTTTAGAATTGAATTTTAACCATCAGTGTTAAACATTACAGCAGGAACAGAAAAACACATTTACGTTTGCTTTTATATTAATTTAGATGTACCTTTTGTGTATATTGATTAGCCAAAACAAAGGAAACAATCATTCTGAAAGACAGATTATCATTTTTCTCTTTGGCGTATCGATGTGACCTTTAAATATGTTGTTATTAATACTGTCATTCTTTTTTTATTGCTGTTTTGTTTTGGTATTTTATAGATAACAATGGGTTTCCATTAAACATTAATGTACCAAACTGTAAAAAAAAAAACAAAAAAAAAAAAAAACGCTGGGTTCCGCACTATCAGTTTTGTGTTTGGACAACATGAGGGAATTAAGTTAGCTGAATTGAACATGTGGATTGAACATAAATTAATTAAATTTTACCCAAAAAACCTCAATGATGATGTTGTTTCAGCTCATTTTAAATAACTTGGAACAAACAGCAGTCATCATTTTTGAGTGTAGCTAACATTAACCGACAACCAGAGATGGGTGTAGCACGTTCCACAATATTCTGCATTTTCTCTGTTCTAAT